ACTTCTATAGACTCCTGGAAACTTCTGTAGACTCTAGAAAACTTCTGTAGACTCCTAGAAACTTCTGTAGACTCTAGGAAACTTCTGTAGACTCCTAGAAACTTCTATAGACTCTAGGAAACTTCTATAGACTCCTAAAAACTTTTAATGCAATTATAAAAGGCTATTAATTATTAGAACTTCTGTTAGCTTCTAATCTAATTAGTAGCACTACTAGCAATTGCTAGGTCTATAATTACATTAAACTTATCTTTAACTACGCGCGCGTACTTAGCAATATTAGCAAACTTAGAATTATCTGTGGTGTTAGGTTAGGCAGTTAGATATAAAAGGTCTATAAAGCCTTAAAGCTGCACATACGCGCAGTTAAATTTATTAACCTCTACCTTAAGCATATCTATTCTAGTAGTGTATATATTAAATAAGTTAAAGAACTTACAGCCTACTAAATTATTTAAGTTTTAAAGCGCTACTAATCTGTCTATAATAAGCGTTTAAGCTAAGAGGAACATATTTTAAATAGTAATAGCAGAAGTATAACTACTAGGTATATTCTTACTAAAGACCCTCTTTAACACTATCTGCACCTTCTTTACTTAGACATTATAAAGGCAAGTCTAGTTAAACACCTAATTAATATTATATGTAGAGTTCTTGTAGTTTCTTAAATTAATCTTATAGCTATAGTTAAAATGCTCTAGGCCTAGATTAATTAGCTTAAACATGTTTTCCTGTCTATACTAGTTTACAAAACTAGATGCAAGGATAGCATGCTATAACTCTGTAGTGTTAGCTAGCAAGAGAAGCTAGCAATACTAAAGCATCTTCTAGCTATAATTTATCTGCCTAGCGCTAAAGAAAACAATAATAAAAAGATTTATAAGGTGTTATAACATGCTAATATTACTGTACCTAACAGCATAGTGTACTGCAAGGAAGAGCTTAATCTCCTAGAGCATGCAACACATAGTACAGAACTTAACATTATCTACACCAGCGCTAGAACCCTACACCTAACGCCTAAAAGTAACAGTGCGTATGTTTTTAACTAACTATAAGAAATTATTTACTAAAAGATCTTTAATAGCATTTTTTATATAACTAAGGCGCTCTAAGAAAAACTTGTTAGTTATATATTCTAAAAAAAAGCATTAGCGTTGTATAGTAGCATAAAACAGTGCAGTAACATAAAATGTAAACCTCTAAATAACTAACAGTTCTAGTAGATAGTATTTACTATTGTCTTACATAAGCTGCGTTTAACACTACATAACAACATCTAACTTAATAGTATAGTGTGTAACCTTATCTGCTATAACTAGGCCTTAATATGTCTAGCTAATAGTTAACAGAAGGTTTATCTGCATATAGAACTATGCAGGAACACTAAGCAACTACTGCTTTTTGTTATATAGTTAAGTTGCTTAAACCTGTTTACCTTATATTAAGCAGATATTACACACTGTAAGCTAATTACTATAGCATAACTAAAAGTAATTATTAAAATTATTACTAAAAATATTAGTAGAGTTATTAGGCGCGTTTAGACCTAATTAATCTAGCTAAATAGTATTATAGACTTTATAAGTCTTACTAATAAACTTTTCTTTATTAAATATAGCACTTAACTAATAATACTTAGTCTTAACTAAGGGTAAGCAGTCTAAAATAGAGAATGCTAGGTATTTAGAAGATGCTCTGCTGCTAAAGACATGTAATATAGCTCTTAGGTAGAGACGCTTAATTAAATTAGTAATAAGACTTTAAAATATGTTATTATTAATACTATCTAGCCTATCTAATCTAGGGCTAAGTATAATGTCTTTAAAATCTAGAGAAACTGCTAAGTTGTGCATAAACTAAGTAAGACCTAACTTAGGTAGCTTAAAAGCTAAAATAGCTACAGCGTTTATTATGCTTTGCATAGTAGCTGTATAGCCTGCCTTTTTATAGCGCGTGCAATCTATAAAGTTAATGTTGTTATACATAAGTACTAGCTTTAAGTCCTTTATAAGAACTTATAATTTATTCTTCTTAGCACTATTAGTTCTTATTAGCCTAGAGGTTTATAAGTAATTTTAGAAGTTTTAGAAGTTCTAGAAGTTTTAGAAGTTTTAGAAGTATTAAAAGTATTAAAAGTATTAGAAGTATTAGAAGTACTAGATAGCATATATACTTAAGCTTTTTCTACAACCTTATTTATTAGCTTATTAGTATAATAATATAAATAACATAACTTAAGTCTACTTAAGACTTTAATTACGCAACACTTTGTTTTAGACCTAATAAAATAAGCATTTAGCATAGATGCTAAAGTGTTTAATCTCTTTTTAGCCTAAAAGAAGCATATAATACTAGTAATAGTAAACATGCGCTTTTTAATTGCATTAGACTTGTTAGCACTCTAGTAGCTTACATATCCCTAGCGTAAATTATGTAATATGCTTATAATAAAGTTATACTAGGTTAGCGCTTAATCTTAAATAGTTTAACTAGCATTATTAAAGTTAAGTATTAATATATCTATATTAAAATTAAAATTTTTAAAGTATATTTTTTATACTAGCTAATCTAGCTTTAAAGCGCAATAATTTATTACATTTTTTATATAAAAAACTTTTATTTTAAAGAGCAAGTCTATTAAAGTCTTTAGCACACACTGCCTATTACACACCTTGTAATACTAGCAATGCTAAAGAAGTGTATTGTCCTTTTTATTATCTACCTATTCTAGCATAAAGTCTTAAAAGCTTTATTAGACAGTCTGCAACACGTCTACTATGTACTGCAACTTCTCACGCCGCGACATAGGACTATAACGCCGCGTAGAGGCGCTAGAGATCCCACCTGCCTAGGTAAAGTTACTAGAGGCACCTACATTATTATTATAGTTTATAGGTTAATCTAGCATAAATGTATCCTTATTTTGTTTAATTAAAGGGTTATTTGTTAGCTAAAAGAGCCTAGGAGGTAGGCTTAACAATAGAGAAGAGTTGCTAAATAGAGCTATAGTTAGCGCGTCTGCTAGTGCGTCCGCTAGCGCGTTAGATAGAGTGCTAGCATTGTCTATGTTTAATGTATATTATAAAGCAGGATAAGCGCTTTACAGTAATAACAATTTTAAGAATTTTAACATAGTATTAGGGGGTAAAGTACGCTGTTAAAGATAGCAACGCTAATAGCTAATAAATAAATTAAGATATATATAAATAACTACTATTTTCTCTTAGACTCTTAGGACAGAATTACCTTTCTCTTATTTAGTGCGTTCTAATTAGTTTAGAAGTTCCTAGAAGTTTTTAGAAGTTTTAATTAGCTTAGAAGTTTTAGAAGTTCTGTCTATTCCTAAATAAGTCAAGGGCGATTCTGGGTCGAGGGTCTGACTCGTGAGATAACAGAGACCCTTCTTGTGACGGTGCTGCTTGTCAAGCTCCGCTGCTAGTCACATGATCTCGCTCAGGGCTAAGCGAGCGCGCTAGCGCCTTGGCGCCGCGCAAGCTTTTCTCTCGCGAAAACCCTTCGCCTTCTTCACTCCCCATCCTAGTTTAGCTAAAATAGAGCCGACCTGCTCTACCTCGCTTCCCCAGCTCCATACGGTAGTAGAGACAGTGCTTGTCATCACACTTCTGATAGGTTCCGGGGAAACCGAGATGGAACGATTCATGAGAATCGTTACACTTAGTAGTTTTCTGATATCCTTTTGTACAAGGCCTATAGGTGTTAATAGCATTCCTAGGTTTCTAAGTCCCCACGCCCTTCTATATGCCTCTGAGTTGATTTATACCGCATTCGGACCCATTGCCTTGTGTAAGGCTGGATGTCCCAGAACGGGCCAGTATGGCCTCCCCTGACCTGTTTGGAGGTCACATGACCTGTGCTTCGTATATAAGCATGAATCCTGACAAGCGAGGCTTGGCAGCGATTCGTCTCTCTTACAATACACTCCTATCTTTCTCCAAAAGTTTGCTCTCAGTGCTATCCGTGCTACCTACTATCCCATCTTTACACCTTGGTTATACTTAGGTGTGTAAGCAACTCGCCTGTTGTGTACGTTAATTAGATAGAAATTTAAGATTCACATACATAAGCTTTTGTAGATGTAATAATTAGTAACAATTGTAGGCGATTTACGCACTAGTTTAACTTAGTAATTTAGAGGGGATCTGACGAAGCGAGAATGCCAAGACATTTCGCCGATTTATTGCCGCGACAGCGCCCCCTGACCACTCTCACAAATACTCGCCGTTGATTGGCTGTGACAAGGAGAGGGGACAACCCGTTCATGAGTCCCCCTTGTGGTATGGAGATCTGTCATTACGGATGCTGCTGCCGAAATTTGACCCCTCTCTTAATCTTAACGTTCATCGAAAGGACGAATAGCGCCAAAGCACGATCGTGGAGCCGGCGAACATCCCTATTCGTGCGGAATAAACTTTCCCTAGCGGCCTTCGAGCCTTGAATCAGTCCCTGGGGGTGGAAGCGAGTAGCTGGATCCACTAAGGCCTTCGCACCTTTCCATGGCTAAAGGTAGCGCTAAAGGTATTGCGAATCTCTAGCGAAGGCAGATCGACATAGCGGCAGGGAGCTTATTTCAAGATGAGATGGTCCCGAAGTCGAGAGGTGCTGAGTGCGCTAGACTTGGTCAATGGTCGGAATCCTTACCGCCTTGGCGCGACTGGATTCACAAACTGAAAGGCTTGCATATACGCCTTCACTTGAACCTTGAAAACTTTAAGCTCGACAACGAATTGGGTCCGCACGCAATTGTTGATTGACGTGCATGCGCAAGTGGATCGCCGTTACTGTCACGCGCGTGCTGCTAGTCCGCATCAGCTCCACACCAAACTTTAACTGGACTTGGGACCAGGATCCAGAACACCTGAATCTGCTGCGGCATCTCTTCCCCGGAGACTACTGGGAGAGCTTTCCAGGCGATGAAGTGGAAAACAATGGTGCCACAGGAGCTATTCAGGGGCGCCCGTGTCTTAATCACGGCAAGTGGAACATTCAAGTAGCAGTCCATCGTACCGGAAAGATCGTGTGCACACATCAGACCACTTTCACTTCTTCCCACAGATTACATTGCCTAACAAAATGCCTGACTTGTCCTGGAAGGAGACGCGACCGGGGCGCTGGGAGCGCCCGCAGTCGTGCCTGGAGAAGATCAATCTTATCAACCGCAATGTCGCCAAAGCTCCGGATCGCGATAATTGGGCGAAGACGGCTGTCGTGAAGCTCGAGTTCTCCACTTCACTTGGTGATCCCGAAGCAGCCCTTAGGAGTGCTTGGAAGCAAGTACGCTACAATTACCCTGAGATGGCCGCCTTCCCCTACGATGGTACTTACATGTACCGCATTGGGAATCCAGATCAAGTCGCATTATGGGTCGCCGCAACATTCTCTGTCTGCCCAAACACTACTGTCGACGAACTCTTCGGCCATATCCCCAGGAACGAGCAGATGATGTGCTACTACCTACCTGACACATCAGAAGTGCTGGTGCGATCTCCACACTACCGTCTGGACGCTCGAGGAGCCGTCTTTTGCCTCAATTACCTCATCGAGTCACTGGCCAACCTCGATCCTGTCTTGATCTTCGGCGGATGCGCAAAAAACCTCTCGCCCAGTATCGACTCCGCACTGAACATCCCATATGAATACACACCAACCATCGAGCGAGCCGCAATGCGACGCTTAGCCGCTCTGAAGCCTCGAAATCCACCGTTAGAGCTCTCTCCCACCATAATGTCACATTCACCAGGAGCCACTCGGCGCCGCTTCATCAAGCTCTCCGTCAGCGAAAGCCAAGCGGTAATGACGGGCTGTGCGTCGGGCGACATGGACCTGACGGCGGCTCTACACGCGGCACTTGTCGCCACCGTAGCCAAGCTAGCCCCACCCTCCGAACTGTGCAGTTTCATGGCATCCTTCCACTGCGATCTCCGCTTCCTCATCTCGGAGCCAGTAACAACCAAGTGGGCGCCTACAAGCTGCACCAGCGTCGTAACCTCTGAAGTTGATGTCTCTCCTTCCACAACCTTCAAAGACATCTACACACAACTCGCCTCCGTCTACGCCAGCGGCTATGGCCCTTACTGGGCCTCAACGGCCTGTTTCCACGAGCAGCTTGCTAAAGTCCTAGCCAGTAAAGACCCAGATTACAGTGACGACCGCGCAGCCCCACGCTTCGGACCCCTAGGCGACATCGACGAACAATTGAAGAAAGACGTCACCAACGGACTCATACGTGTCAAAGACTTCTGGCTTGGAGGTGAGACGCTGACGAAGCGGAAGATAGTGCACAGTTGGATTTGGGAGCGGCAGATTCACTTCAGTTGTTGCTATAATGAGAGCTTTTGGGAAGATGAGTTTGTGGAGGGGTTTCTGGAACAAATTAGGGATGTGCTGTTAGAGGAGGTGGCGTTGAGTGGGCTGGTGAAGGGGTTGCAGTTGTAGGTTGTAATGGTAGATATTCTGGGTCACTGGGCTGGTTATGGAATTGGCGGATCATGGTTTCTAGGTTTTGCCTAAGCGTAATTTCAGGTTCTAGTAATATCCTCGTACTAGGCTTGTCTTCGTTGTTGTTTAGCTGCACTATAACAAGTGTAGCTATCTTCCAAACTTGCTAGGTAAGAATAGCAAGAGAGAGGCTAGTTGAACGTTCCAATTGTTGACACTGCTTGGAACCGACATGGCTATTTCGCAAAGCGCAGTTGGTGGAACTTCACCTCGACGCTTGGATGTTAGGTGCTAGCGCAGCTAACTTACCACCTGCATGAGCAGGGGAAGAGAGAGCGCCAACCATGAATATAGCGTCGAGTGCGAGGGGCAGGCCAGCTAGCTTTCCGGTGTACTAGATGTAAGCACGGTGGTCCGTACCCGTTTTGAATGACGAGGTTGGCTGATGGATTGTCTTTTATTGCTAGTTGCTGTGGCTATTGTAGCCTATCAATGCACAAATATCACTATTGGTTCGCTCTTCCTGCCCTACCTAACTGCCATCAGAATCGGCTAACCTCTAGGAGCACACATAAGAGCAGCTCGAGGCAATTGCAAGCCTACTCTTACTCACAAGCCGAGTAAACCCACAATACAAGATCATAGATTCTCCATACACTCCTACTACTTTGCACTTCGCTTCTCGTAGGGTGCACTACCCTAGTTTCCTACAGAAGCAGCAATGGGTTTGTTAAATTAATAGAAGACAGGATTAAATATTCAAATTATTTAGTTATTCTCTTAGAGCAGTCTGTTGCCTAAACGACTCTACTATAGTATGTATTTCTAGCCTATTTAGGCTACACTAAGACTAAAGCCTTCTACTATAACACTTTAGTATCTACTAACACCAAGGCATTTTAGAATTAAATAGTCTATATAAGAGAATAGTCTACTCTAACTAAATTCTTACACCTTATACTTTAGTTAATAATATATTAACTAATAGGCTTTTAACATGCTAATTAAAAAAAGTTTAATATTTTAAGCTTTTTAAGTAGTTTTAAAAAGCTAAATTTTATCTATTTAAGCTACTATAGTAATTTATATAGTTTTTAAAACTATACATGCTTAAAGATTAAATAGCATAGCGATATAACTAGTAAACTTATAAAATTAACTAATTTAAAAAAATATTTAGTTATTAATGTATTTAACTAGAAAGCTAGCTACTCTGTTAAACTAGCTACTTTTTCCTAGCATTACAAACACTGTGTATAAGAAGTAATATATTAATAAAGAAAAGCGAATTTGTTTTAAAAAGAAAGTAACGTACTTTATAGGCAAGTTGCTTACACACTAAAGTTACTTACTTTTACTAAAACTCTACTAAACTACTTTTTCTACACTAATGCATTCCTAACAACACTACTTAAACGTGCTAAAAGAACATTAGATATAGCTTACACTTTAGGCTTTTAAATAAAACGCAACACTTTTAAAGTAATATGCTGTAGCTATAGATAAAGTCTTTTAAAAGATAATAAATAACTAATACACTAGACAACCTTTATAAGCTAATTCTACAGCTAACTTATAAAGGCTAGGCAATAATAAAAAGTAGGTAATTATTAAGCATATACTTAAGCTATATGCGCAAGGATTTTTCTCTTAGCTAATATAGCTAATTCTTTACACCCTAAGTATAATCTAAGCTATGTTAGCATAAACTAGCCTAGTATGTTTATAAAGTGTTATTTAAAGCTTAAAGTAAAGTTTTAAGTATAAGCATAGTTAGTAAATATCTAGCCTATTATAAAGCCTATCTTATTAAAGTTGTACATGTTATTATCCTAGATGCTATACTTAGCTTTAATATTCTCTATAAGGCTAAACTAGCTCTAAATTACCTTAGGATTCTTATAAAAAGCTCTTATAGTTCTTTTTTATTTTTAGCTAAAGTTCTTTTAGAACCTATTTTTTATTAACAATAACGTACTTTATAGGCAAGTTGCTTACACACCTAAGTTACTTACTTTTGCTAAGACCCTACTACACTACTTTTTTTATACTAATGCATTCTTAATAACACTACTTAGACATGTTAAAAGAACATTAGATGTAGCTTATGCTTTAAGCTTTTAAATAAAATGTAACACTTTTTAAGCAACACACTATAGCTATCTATAAAGTTTTTTAAAAAATAATAAGTAACTAACGCGCTAGATAACTTTTTTAAGCTAATTATATAGCTAACTTACAAAAGCTAGATAATAATAAAAAGTAGGTAATTATTTAGCACATACTTAAGCTAAATGTGCAAGGATTTCCCCCCTAGCTAGCAGCTATAGCTAATATAGCTAATTCTTTACACACTAAGCATAATATAGGCTATGTTAGCATAAACTAGCTTAATATGTTTATTAAGTGTTACTTAAAGCTTAAAGTAAAGTTTAAGTATAACTATAACTATAAAAAAGCTTTTTATAAAAATTCTATAGTAATTTAAAGCTAGTTTAACTTTATAAAAAATATTAAAGCTAAGTATAGCATTTAAGATAATAACATATACAACTTTAATAAAATAAAGTTTATAATAAGCTAAATATCTACTAGAGTAGTTATTATAGGTTTAGAGAGATAAGAACAGCTAAAAGTAGTCTAGCTAGGTAACTAGAAGTAGACAACAGCTATCTAGGGCATTAATGCTAAAAGGTAGGCTATTTTATTTTTTATTATTTTTTAAAGTAGCAACTACTTTTTAAACTAGTATAAAAAAAAATCTACTTTAGAATTAAGTTATTATAATCTCTAAGTGTAGCTAGACTACTAATTAGCTTAGTCTAGACTAGTTAAAGCACTTTAATATGTATATAAAGAAGTGTACTATTAGTAGCTACTATCTGCTAGTTATTAATAGCTATAAAAGCTATAACTTACTTTATTTTTAGTAATACTATAAAAATAATAAAATTATTACTATTTACATACTTTTTTACTTATTACACTTTTTATAGCTACTTAATGTAGGTTGTTTTACTCTTTTAAAAAAAGTGTATAAGTGCTAAGCTAAAAACCTTATATGCAACTAGATTACTTATATTATAAAAATAAAGTTTTTACTATGCTTTAAAGTAGCTTATAATGCTATAATTACTTTTAGTAATATTTAAAAAAAGTTTTAAAGCACTAGATTAGTTTTTTTTAGCCTATAATAAGTTATAATAGGCTTTAATATAAAGTTACACACTTTATTACTACTACTACTTATATATAATAAGCTCTAGTAGTTATAAACTCTAAGTAATACTTTAAAACTTAAGTTATAATTAATGCTTATAAAGATAAAAATTTAAAAGTATATAAATAGTTTACTAACTTTTATAGTTAAAGTGTTTAAAAAAGTTTTAAAAGAAGTAGTAATAATTATATATAAGCTAGTGTTAGTGTAATAAAAAATTACTAAGCTTTAAGTAGCTAGTAAGGCTACTACATAATATAAATTACATAAAAAAAAGTAAATTAAGGTAAAAAAAACTTTAATAATTTAGAAAAGCCTATGCTTAACAGCTTTAAAAGAGTTTAAAGCGCGCAGTAACAGGAAGAACGCAAAGAAGTAGGTGTAAGCTAAAGTAGGTAAGCTATCTTAAAGGTGCTGCAGATAGTGCAATTAGACTAGGCATAACACACAAATATGTAAGTAAGAAGTAGAAGTAGTATCTAAATAATATTCTAAGCTGTACTGTACTATATAGTGCTAGAGCGGGTTGTTATAGGCTATAATAGAGTTTATTAGGGTGGGGTCTTGGCAAAAGTAAGCGACTTGGGTGTGTGAGCAACTTGCCTATGAAGTACGTTATCTTTCTTTTTCTCTATAGCTATATTATTACTAGTATACTTAAAGAAGGCTTTTAGTAAAATCTTCCGCAGCATTTTAACAGTATAAGAAGCTACTATATAAGAAAGAGAATAAGAGATAGCAAAGTTAAAAATTAATAGTAGTGCTGCTAAGAAGATAAAAGCGTTGCAATAATAGCTAAGGTAGTTAAGTAGGTTTAACCTAGCAGCACAGCTGTGCCTTTATAGTACAGAGGTATAGTATAAGCTATCTTACTAAGAAGACAGTACTAGCATTATAGGTCGCTAGAGGGTGTATAGCAAGGGAGCCTATTTTATCCCTAGTCCTAGGGGGACAATTCTGTCTCCCCCTTTAAGACGCCCCTAGAGCTAAAAACCTGCCCTCTCTTGTCTAGACTTAACAGAATTATAAAGGCATGTCTAAGGATAATTAGCTGTTAGGGGAGCATAGGGTAATATAACTAAGCAGCAGGTAAGCAGCCTAAGAGATAGGTAAGCTAAGGGTGATTAGCGCCTGAGTAAAGCAGCACTGTGTTACAATCCTTGCTTCCTAGAAGCACGCGGGTCAATATTATCCCTGTGGCAGGGCGGAAAGAAAGGGGCCGACAGTAGGGTGTACAGTCCTACGTAAGGGCTATTAGGCTGATGGAGTAGGGTAGGGTGACTAGATTGTAGTTTGTCTCTATAGCAGCAGTATAGTAGCCAGGTTAAACAGTCCTATTAGATAGAATTAGAGGTATATATGTTGCAAGATATATAGATAGTATTACAGCTTTTTAAAAAGCTAGAATGCTACTTAGTCTATATAAAAAATAAACTAAACATTAAACACACCTTCTAAAAGTTGTTTAAGGTTAGAACTATATACATGTCTAATAGTGCTAAGAACAAGCTGCCTAAGTTTAGACAAGCTTACTGTACAGCAAACTTGTCTAACTTGCATAGACTTTTTCTGTTTCCTTAGCCTATCCTTCTACTAGACAATGCATTCTTCTGTAATCCTAGGCAGCTGTGCTGCCTCCGTGTCTTCCAATTAGTCCGTAAACAAGCTCTGTCCCAACCCGGCTAGATTGTAGAGCACTTCGGGTGGAGTTACGTCGGTCCAACCATAGACCGTAACACACTGCTTACTAGCTATAGTAGGAAAGAGAGTGCTAGAGAAACTTAACTATCTACCTTAATCTTAATTCTAGGAAAAGAAGAATGCCTTTTTAATAATCCTAGGCCTCTTCTTCTTTAAGCTACTACTATACTCTCTTATCTCTATCTATTGATTAATATAGGGCTAGTGCTTACTATTTTTATAACTAGTCTAGATAGAACTAAGACTCTGCTAAGACTTAAGCTACCTCTACTACTTTATTAAAAGCTTTATACTTAGCTTTAGTAAGCTCTAGGTCTAAATAATCTACCTTCTTATCTAAATACTCTACTATATAGGGTTAGCTTCTAGATATTAGCCTCTATACTAGGCTATAAATAGACGATAGACGTGTTATTAGTAACGTTATATATTCTATAGTTAATCTATATAGATATAAGCCTTATATGATATTTTCCTCTATATCTTCTTCTTAGATACCTAGTAGATTAACCTTAACTAGATATAATAAGAGTAAGGTATTAAGATAACTTTATTAATAAGAATATAATCAGCCTATCTAAAGTATAATTTAGTACTTTAAGTAGAAGGTATAGAGTAGACGATTAAGATAGAATAGAATAATAGAGTAGCTCTACTCTTATACCTAATCTCTCTAAGATAGGCTAACTTATAACCTACTACCCTAGACCTAGAGGGTAGAGGAGATAGTATTATAAATATAATAGCTAATTAGTTATTAATACTAGACTAGCTTACTTAGAACCTTAATTACTAGGATTAGATCTCTAATAATAACCTTAGATAGAAGATAGACTATAATCTAACTCTGTAATACACGGGTTACGCGACTAGTAGGATTAGGTAATAGTCTAGGTTAACTAGAGTAGACTCCTTCTTTACCTAGATCTAGGTATAGAATATTAAGTAGCTATCTAGCCTAGAATGTTATATAAAAGTCGCTACCTAGATTACTAAGCTATCTTTAGTATATAGACTAGATAACTCTTTAAGCAATTAACTAGTTATAGTTAATCTTACTATAGCTTTTATATAGCTTCCTTATTTTAATCTCTTTAGTTATCTCTATTATTTACCTCTTACCTATAAGTAAGACTTCTATAAATTATATTACCTACTAAATTAATCTCTTTAGTTTTCTCTATTATTTACCTCTTAATTATAAGTAAGACTTCTATATATTATATTACCTACTACCTATTCTACCTTAGAAATCTAAAAGGCTCTTGCTTAGTTCTCTTATCCTACCTGTAACGATTCTCATGAATCGTTCCATCTCGGGTCGCCCGGAACCTATCCGAAGGGTC